TGATTATACAATTACACAATAGTAAAATTTAATTTTAATTTATTTTTGTAGAATTTTAAGCTATCATCATCATAATATGAATTTTACAACAAAAAATGCAATGAATTTGTTTTTAAATAAAATTTAAATCCAAATCTTAACAAGAATTTTAATTAAATCCAAATTTATTGCGAGCAATAAAATACATTTTGCACAGCTGTGCAAAGGAAGTAACTATTAATAGCAATGAAACACACAATATATTTATTATTTAAATTAAATTAAATTCAAATTTTAACAACGAATTTTAGCCCTATTTGATCGCAAATTTTTTTTAAAAAAAAAAAGAGTTTTAATAGTGATTTTTTTGGAAAATTTATGGTTAAAATGTTGGATTTTTTTTTAAAATTTACATGTAAACTATTTTATCGTATAAATATGGGGTTAAGAATAAGTATGAAAAGTAAAGAGTTTTGTTTTAAATGAAGCTAAATAATGGCTTAATTAAATCCAAATTTATAGTGAGTAATAGAAGACATTTTTTAAAGTTTAGTGGCCAAAATCCGACCACTTCAAAGTTTAATAAGCAATAGAAGACATTTTTCAAAATTTAGCTGTCAAAATTCGACTAAGCTTCATGTGCATTCATTTAACAATTTCGTTAGAGGTTTGAGACGAAAATTATGCCAGTGAGTAACGTATAACGTTTTCTAAAGTTCAGTGGTCCAAATTCGACATTTTTAAATTTTAGTGAGCAATAAAAAATATAGACATAACTTCAGTGACCATTGGAACAATTAACTCCTATTCATTCCTAAAACAAATGTGCTCCCTGCAAAATTTTAGTTTTGTTAGGTGAGGATTAAAATTAAAATTTTAGCATATTTTAATAAAAACTTATAAAATGTGTGATTGAAATGTTGCGAGTCATATTAAGCCCTTATTTGAGCTCCATTTTAATGAGGTTATGAAAAAAAATATTTTGTGATGAAATTTAATCAATGCTTACTAAATTTTAGAGTACAATATAACTCACTGCTCACCCAACCATCCAGTTTCTTACCCGTTCATCATCCAGTTGATCTCCCTCATCCTAGACTAACGGAATGTGCCACGGAGAGGACAAAGATCCCACGTGGAATATAAATCAGACAAAGAAATAAAAAAAACTCAGCCGAAAATTAGAAACCTTGCCTGCATGGATTTACATGCGAAATCCCAACTCTGCCTCCCTTACACTTTCCACCAAATGACCAACCAAAAACCACAAAAATGGCGACGACGAGTGGAACTTGAGCCGAAATTTCCACCGCAAACAGCGTTGCACGCTACTTTCTTAACAATAGTGGGAACAACAACTGAAGTAGGAACAGCAACAGCCCAAATTCACCTTCCATTGTCTACGACCATACGATCGTTACCCTCCTCCATCGCCGTCGTGGAGAACCCATAAATCGCACCCAATTCCAGATTTCATTTTTTTTTTGCCTCGAAAGTGTTTAAAGTTTTTATTATTTCAATTATCACCCGAGCCGAGTATTTCAATGATCATTCAAATTAATTGGAAACAGTTGAACTGCCCCCATACATCAAAATTGAATTGGGAAATTTGAAGTCCAATATATTAGAAGAAAGTTTCTATAATGACGACGTTCAAAATTCTCCACTCTAATCTAATGTGTTGCTCTCACCAATTTCTCATTATTCTTCTTGCCTCCCGTAAAGAACTTGTACCCTCCAAAGAAAACAAACCCCAGCCAGATAAGGAGACATCCACGAAGTGCTCTTCTTTTCTCTTGGATGGACTCATGGGATCTTTCCAGAAATCAACCTTAGGTGGCCCATGATGATCAGCAGCGCCAGCGGGGCCACGACGGGGAATCATAGAGGTGGACCGAGCAAAGGTTGTAGCCAAGGAAGTGGCCATGGCTTTGTGCTTTTTCTTTCCAAGATTGAAGGGGCGTCAAACTGCAATTCCAACTTTCATTTTCTTGCCAAAATGTACCCATGAACGAAGCGTCCCAAATCGAAACCCAAATTCGCCCCCCAAATCAGTGAAATTCACCCCCAAAACTGCTGCACTTACTAGGCTATATTCAAGGTCTAAGAACTGGAGGAAGAAGATGAAGGTCCAGGAGTGGCTTTCTACACTTTTGGCCCATTTCATGTGTGATGTGTCACGTTGGTAGATTCCGTTAGTTTAAAGTGACGAAAATCAGATGAGTGATCAACGAGTAAGCAATTCGATAGATGAGTGAACAATGAATAATGTTTTAATGTTTAGTGAGCAAGTAGTAATGTAATATAAACTTCAATGAGATGTCATTTTGATTAGTGTGATATAAAAATTTAATGAGGTTATAAAAGTATGTTTATGATCTAAAATTTTTGTCATTGTGATTAGTGTGATATTTTATAACTTGTGATCATAAATTGTGTATTATTATGACGTTAATATGTTTAATTAATTAATAAGTCACAATTTTTTATCATGTGATCACATTTGTGGCCACTAAATAATCACGTGATTAAAATTTTTTTTTTTCACAAATTTCTTATTTTTGAAGTAGATCTTAGAATCTTATGTATTTTTTTATTTTTTATTTTTTGAGAACTATCATAACTCCCACGTATAAAAATTATATTTCAAAATTAACAAATTTGTCAAATTATTTCAAAATTCGAGTATTAATTCCAATTAATAATATATAATTAATTAGAATTAATTATTCCCACATAATTAATAATATCCCTACGCAAACCACCTGCACCAAATTAATACTATCCCACTCCAACCCACCCGTAATTTTTTTTTTTCAAAATTGAAAACTTTTATGAGATTACACCACCAGCCCCAGCTTGCAAATTTTTTCTAGAAATTAATCCTTAATTGAGATTATACCTCACCCCAAAAACTACATCTACATATACCCCACCCTAACCTATGAAAAAATTCAAAAAATTTAAAATATTTTTAGAGATTGCGCCCCCATCCACACGAAATCACCCCAGATTTATGATTAATTGTGTTATCTGTGATCGATTTTTTTGCTAGACTTGTGTTATATGTGATTAACTGTGACAAATTTTGTCTTCAATGAGACTGCATGTGATCGTCTAATTAATTTGTGATTGAATGTAACAAAGTCACTAACTTGTGTTATCAGTGATTGATTGTGATCAAATTTGTTTTCAGTGTAACTATCTATGATCATCTAATTTATAATTGTATGTAACCAAGTAAATAACATGTGTTATCTATGACTAATTATGACCAAAATTTATTTTTAACCCTTGTTTAAGCCCCATTTTGAAGAGAAATGTATTTTTGTGATTAGAAAGTAAGAAAATTTTCAATTTACGTGTAGAATTATTTTATTGGAAAATGTGTGATCAAAAATAAATTTTGAAAAAATGGAGCTCAAAGCCTCAAACAAGGAATTAATGTAACTAAATTTGTCTTCCGTGCGTCTGTCTATGACCAGTTGGTATTAACTGTGACGACATGTGATCAACTCACAATCAACACAAAATTGATTACAATCAATCGCAATAAACACATATTTGATCACAGAATGTCACCACAAACAAAAATGCACACATTGTATACCAGCAGCATCACCACCAATGCACCACCACTGCTACCTTCAACTCAAATCCACAACCATAAATAATACCTTTACCTCAAATCCATAATAACAATCACTACTTCAATGTCAAATCTATAAAAAACAATCCACCACTATTATGTTACCATTACCTCCATCTACTATCTCTTTTCATCTTCAACTTCTCCGCAATGGCTACCATTTTCCATTCTTCACTTTCCCCTAAGTACCAATGCTCAATCTCACATCCCCCTTTCAAGGAAAGCATGCCCTTGCCCATAGCACCCACAACTCAACCATTACATCAAATCACTAAAGTCACAATCATTTATTGAGAGGAAAATTTCACCATTGAAGTGAAGAAATTCGATTAGATCAGCTTCTGAGTCAACTTAATCGAATTGGTAGGCATCCGTGCAAGAGATCATGGCTGTGGAGAAGAAGAATCACCACCGAGCGATATGCGTTGCGTCAATAGCGAGGTTTGCTGGTTCGACCACTAGATGAACAAGAAGGAAATTGAATCCGAAAATTGTAGTAGACGATGGATGTTGGGTGCGAAAGCTCCAATAATAACATACGTTGATTCCAAACCGGATTGTAGAGAACGAAATTGTAGTGACAATATTGAAGTAAACGAAATCACACCACGAAACAAGGTTTAAATTGTAAAGAAGAACAAAATGATTAAAGTAGAGGAATGATATTTATTGAATCAATAATATGGAGAATACAAAGCAATCTAGCAATTGGCTTCTATCCGTTATATCTAATGAAAGTCATAGAGGAGTTTTGTATTTATAGGTCAACCCTAGAAGAGTCTTAAAATGTAAGAAAATATATTACAATTAGGAAATGAAATTTCAACAAGATTTGTCTCCTTTTGTTGGATGCAATTATATTCCCTTTCCAAATAAAAGTCTAACGTGTATCTTCAAAAGACCCATAACTAATTTTTAGGATTCCACTCGATCAAATTCTAAATCAACAATAATCTTAACACATTTGAGTCACCAAACCTAACAATGGATGCTGCTGTCCTCGAAGAGGTCGGAGTTGATTATGCTGGTCGGAGTTGTTGCAGATAATAGAGAAAAAGATATGTAAGGTTTGGGTTGTGTGGGGGTGGGGTGATGTTGGGTAGGGTCTTGTTTTTATCTGGTTTTGGGTTGCTTGGGGTGGAGTGGTGTTGGGTAGGGTGGTTTTGTATCGACTATTGATACCTGACTTTTGAAAGAATTTATTTAAATCATGAATTTTGAAATGTAAAATTAAAATAGCGGGTTTAATGTAACACACAAATCCAAGGCGGCCCAACTCGTTCTGAGCCCATTGGCTTAATTGGGCCTGGTCCAACGCGATTCGTTTTGATTACCTTTTTTAGGTTACAATACAATTGACTACTATAAGAACTAGGTTATTACGACATGGAGTTCTTTCTCAGAAGCTCAAAGCCCTAGCTCTCCTGGTGTGGCGCCGGGTCTGACATCTCTATTAGTTTCCTGGTAAGCTTCAGCTCTCTCCTCCTCACTTATAACTTTGTATTCATGTGTATACATGAACAAATTTTTTTAAATATAGTAGTATAATTTCCAATTATTTCTTGATTTTAATTTTCTCTGCTTCGACGTTTCTTTCTTTTTGATCCTTTGTCTATTACATTATTATTTTTAGATCTTTTGTTGAGTACAATCAATTTAGTGCCTTTATTGGAAGACAGGTTACGTACGTGAACATTCTTTAATTTTTATTTATTTGGGGGGTTTTTATTGAGTGTAAGCAAATGGGATCAGCAGTTAATGAATGCATAGCTAGTAAAAGTAGCGTGTTTCCATCTCTTTTATCATATTTAATTGAGATCGCGGTTGAGTCATGTTCATTGAGAATCACCAGTTGGACTAACAGTGAACTTATATTTCTGAACAAATCTCCGCTCATAATTTTTATTGAAATGTTCCAATAGTTGTATGTATTAAATTTTGTTGTTGAAATTATGGCTCCAAGCCTGTTGAAAACTTTCTTTGTTTGTGCGCTACCATCTAATTTGACACGGGCTAAACAAGAAAATACTAATTGCCAAATATTATTAAAAATATGTTTCTTAGAGGCAGGGAAGGGAAATGGGAAGGTGAAAAGGGCAACATAAGTTTTGAGAAGTGTTTATTTATTTTTGATATGTATTAAATAACGCCGTTCTATAGGTTGCTGTTGATAAAGTAATATTTTAAACTTTCTTTACCAAATCAAATTGCTGTTTTCTTCGACTGTTTATGGAATCTATGACAAAGATCAGATCGATTATCAGGGAAACTGTGTATAAACCAAAGTTTTCTCGGTTTCATTTTCCTATTTAGATTTGCTTGACAAAGCTTTTGATAATATTTTTAGTAGATTATTTATGAAAGTTGATGAAACTTGTGTCCCATGAAATGTGATTAAAATTGAATTTTGACCATTTTAAAGTTAGCCCCAGTTTGAGTCCCATTCTTTAAAAACTTGTATTTTTTCAAACTCATTTTCAACCGCACATTCTTCCCATTATAATTTTACACGTAAACTAACAAATTTTCCCTACTTTTTAACCATATTCTCAAAAAAATCATTACTACAAAATCTATCTTCACAAAAAATGGGGCTCAAACAAAACCTTAATAAAAATTTAGCAAAGTTGTATCAAACAAGCACTTACTAATTTTTGATGTAAGCGATACATATAGCAGTTTTAGTTTTATGTTGTTTGTGAATGTTGGGGGATCTATTTTTTGTTTAATGTTTGATTGCACAAAATTCTGAGTAGCTTTGTTTATTCATTATTTGTCTTCAGAGTAAGGATGCATATGATAACTTGTGTATATGTGGTACAGCAGTATCTGTAAGCAAAGATGGTGAGAGTTAGTGTACTGAATGATGCTCTGAAGAGCATGTACAATGCAGAGAAGCGGGGGAAGCGTCAGGTCATGATTAGACCCTCATCCAAGGTCATTATCAAGTTTCTCTTGGTGATGCAGAAGCATGGTATAGCCGTATAGGAAACATTCTGTCGGACATTATTTTATTACAGAGTTCTTTGTTTAGTGTTATATGTTTACTTAACTCTTTTGATCATACATGTAGGATATATTGGGGAGTTTGAGTATGTTGATGACCACCGATCTGGTAAAATTGTGGTCGAACTAAATGGAAGGTTGAACAAGTGTGGAGTCATCAGCCCTCGCTTTGATGTTGGTGTCAAGGAAATTGAGGGATGGACTGCAAGGTTACTTCCCTCCAGACAGGTAATACATAAAAGAGTTTTAGATTAAAGTTTGGAAGATGACATACTGTACTTGTTAGAAATTTTAAAAAAATAAAAATTATCTATTTAATAAGAACATGTTAGAGAAATGTACTTGTGTCAGTACAGTTAGGTTTTGACCTATGCCTCATTTTCTGTCGTGGATTCTCTACATGAATTTTAGATTAAAGTTTGGAAGATGACATACTGTACTTGTTAGAACTTTAAAAAAAATAAAAATTGTCTATTTAATAAGAACATGTTAGAGAAATGTACTTGTGTCAGTACAGTTAGTTTTGACCTATGCGTCATTTTCTGTTGTGGATTCTCTATATGGAGCATTCATGTCTTATCTTAAAGGTCGATAAAGAGCATGTTTGGCTACGAATTTCAGTACTGGTAATTTTTTATTGAAAAGCCAAGTTATCCAAACGTGTTAGGGAAGAAACAAAATTACTTGAAAAGTAACTCCTCCTATTTTGAGTTTAGCCAAACTTGATGGAATATCCGCCTACTTGGATGCTAAACATCCATACTATATCTTTTGATGCTTATATTTTATATCTACTGTAACATAGGAATGTTGGACTGTACCTTGGTGATTATAGCAATTGATCTTGGTTGTCGATTAAAAGCTGAATACTGTGACCAAAAATACAGGTTATAATGCCTTATTTGATTGACATAATTGTTGTACTTGCAGTTCGGATACATTGTCCTGACGACGTCTGCAGGCATCATGGACCATGAAGAGGCAAGGAGAAAGAATGTTGGTGGAAAAGTGCTTGGCTTCTTTTATTAGGCTAATGTTGTTCTATGGACGTGTTTGAATTTTTTTTCTTATTCAAAGAGCTTTTTAATGTACCATTGAGATTGTCGACACCAACGTTACACCTCTATATATTTTGTTTTATTTGCTTTCAACACGAGTTGAGATTTAAACTACTATGTTTTCATCGTATTGGATTTTGGATAATTCGAAGACAATGGGATTTGGGTTTTTTTCACGAGTCACATTACTGCCCGATTTGTCAATGCCTGTAAAAGAGCCAATGCTCGTAGAGGCAACTTTCTCAAGTGAAGTAGTTAGCCTTAAATATCCATTACGCCATGAGAATTTCACGTTCATTCTTGTTTATCGACCTGAAATCAAGCTCTTTTACAGGCATTGACAGCTTTGTCAAAGAGGGAAGAAAAACGTTACATTTTTATTTTTTAGCTGCATATATTGAGTGCGCATTACTGGAGAGGGAGATTCTTGCTTTTTTGTCTTTTTCTTTTTGACAGTGTTCAATATTGAATCCAAGTTAAACAAGCAAGCCATTTACATATAAGAATACAAATCAAACATCAAAAAGTGAATGAAGTAAAATTTCAGTTATACTACAGAGGGCCTTTTGGTGAATGTGCAAATATTATCCTCTTTCGTTGGCGGTGAATCCCCAATTATGGGAAATGCTTTTCTTCTTGGCTTTGCCTCTACAAGCATTGTTATAATGTCTCTCATTGATGGCCTGTCCTTTGGGAGTGTGTGCAATTTTGAGGACAAGAAGCATTTCTTCTTCCACATATTTACATTGTCCAAAAATGTCAGAATCTAATGCTTCTTGTAAGTTTTTTTTTTTTTTTTCCCCCCTCAAACCCATTCGACTATATCAACGGACTCGCCAAATACAGGATTTAGAGGCATTTTCCCTTTTAGAAGCTCTAGAAGCACAACTCCGAACTGTATATGTCACTTTTTATCAACCTTTAACATGTAACCATATTCTATAAGATAAAAGAGAAGCAAAATAAGAATCTTCATAAAAAATCATCAACATGTTATCCACAATCGAACTATTTGACTACAGTCTTACTGGAGCAAAACTTACCAACCCGGTGCTGTGTATCCATATGATCCAGCCACCATTGACAGTCTCATTCTTGTGAAGCATTGTCCTTGCCAAGCCGAAGTCAGCGATTCGTGCCTCGAAATCTGAGTCGAGCAAAATGTTGTTCGAC